CGTTAAATGTTAGGAAAACTAATTTCACTCGACACTTAGAAAAATTTCAACCACGGGCTACCAAGCGTTGGTAGCCCGTGGTTGAAATTTTTCTAAGTCTTTTTCAAATGGTCACTTACGAAAGACTTAGAATATTTTCGACAATTTATCTCATTTTATTATAGTTTATACTACACTTAGAAAAAATTTCCACCACGGGCTACTTGCATTGGTAGCCCGTGATTTTGAGTGGTAGCCCGTGGGTAGCCCGTCGTTTTTGTTAGGATGTATATTAGTAGCCAGTAGCCCGTTAAATCTTAGGAAAACTAATTTCACTCGACACTTAGAAAAATTTCGATGCCGGGCTACAGCAAGTACACGTTGAAATGTTGGAAAAACTTTTTTCACTCTACATGCCCAATTTTTTACAAGAGCACAATCATAAATGTAAAGTTAGTTTATTGAAACTGTTCATGATTTATGTAGCTTTTAACGCTACATACTAATACAATGGACCATTTGCATTATAGACTAACTTTTGATCTAGACAAAAATTTCATCACAGCTTGAAAGAGCATCACAAAATTAGTAATATTCCAAAGTTTCGTTGCGAAATGTTGTAAAATGCGGACAATATAGCCTTGCGAAGTTTGCACTTTTCAGTCATTTTGTATTACAAACGTACGGGAAACTGATGCCCCAACACCCGATTGGGCTGTCAATTTTCCGTGCGTAATACAAAATGACTGAAAATTGCAAACTTCGCAAGGCTATATTATCCGCATTTTACAACATTTCGCAACGAAACTTTGGAATATTACTAATTTTGTGATGCTCTTTCAAGCTGTGATGAAATTTTTGTCTAGATCAAAATTTAGTCTATAATGCAAATGGTCCATTGGTCTTACTAATCCCAATTGCGCTTCAAGGGATTCTAATATAAGTTTTCAATATTTAAAAGTGCATATGTGGGCTTGGACAATTGTAGAGCCCGAAAGCTGTTAAGTAATGGCATAGGTTTATGTCTTTGATACATTTACCTTGAAAATGTATTGTACGGTGCAACAATAAGCGTTATGCATGAATGCGTTTATGCAAAGTACAACGTCTGATTGTGCTTTATAAGCAGCCACTTAGTCGGTGTTGTTCATTTTTAAATGCCACGTCAACATGCTGGAAAGGTGGATTGGAAATCGGTTGATGGAGCTTTTGACAAACCAAGAAGACTGCATTTGCAACAAGACAAGAATCACTTATATCGTTGTCCTGTAAATGGATGCGAACACCCTGGATTTAGCAGTTGTCGCGGTTGCAGGAAGCATGTTTACGAAAAGCACGCTTGGTATAAATATTTCGATCAAAAGCCTATTGTTATTTCAAATACTGTTGAAGAAAAAGGCAATGTAATCACATCAAAAGCCAAACATACAATTCCTTGTTGTTCTACGGAAAATGATTTATGTCGTTCCCTTTCGGTGTGGTTACAAAGTACGGCTGGGGGCGGCAAGTCTGAAAAGCAATCACAAATTTCAGTGACAAGGGCTCTCAAGTTTATAACATTTTGTTGTTCTGAAACGGGCGAAGACGAATTGAATGCGACTTCGTCTTTAGAAATAATAGATTATTTTCTTGGTTCTTCGAAGTTGCTAACGGGTTTCCTTGACTATCTTCAGGGTACTTGGAAAATGGGAAATTCCGGCCAATTAGGTTACATAACAAGCATATCTGAGCTGTTAGATTTTCGAAAGTTTAACTCTCCCTCGGGCGCCGTACTGCAAAATTTCTCTGTTACTGAAGTTTACATCAAGAGAGCAAAGAAATGTTTGTCAAAGGTAATGAGGTCGCACTGGACGACAGATCTTGACATAGAAACACTTGAATCAAGACGGAGTTGGGCAAGCTTAGCCGAACCCTTCCATATACCACGTTATAAGATTATATTGGACGAATGCAAAAACAAATCACCTGTTGTTAGCGCAACGAATCTTACATTCGCTACCCGATTCCTAGCAGTATTTATGTTTTTTAAAGTTAAAGGCTGTAGGCCTATGACGTATCTGCATTTGACGGTTAGCATGTTTGAGAGTGCAAAACGAAATAAAGGAATGGTCGATCAAACCACATTCAAAACTGCCAAAAAGTATGGCTTTGATTCCTTATATTTTGACGAAATTAGTTTGGATGTTGTTGACAATTACGTTCGCTATGTTAGGCCATTTCTGCAACCAAGGTGCGACTATTTGCTCGTCAATCGTAATGGCATTCAATTTCAAAAATTAACAGAAATCTTAAGTATATTAGTCTTTCAGGCAATCGGAAAATACGTTCATCCCACAAGATACAGGCAAATCATTGAAACTGAAAGTGTGCAAATCCTCAATGTAGAGGAGCAGAAGTTGGTTTCTGAAGATCAAAAACACAGTTCGAATGTCGCCCGAGTCCATTATCAGAAATTGCGTTCTCGAGATGTAGCTATCAAAGGGCGAACATGTATGGAAAAATTGCGTGGCTTACACGGAGCAGAAATGGACACTTGCGTTGAACAGTTAAAACAAGAACATTGTTCCGAACACGAATCAAAAAGTGATAACGAAACCACTCCCATACCACAAACAACGACAGAAAAGGTTTCTGCCGAGAAACGCAAACCCCTGAGATTCACGAAAGAAGAGGATCAATTTATAGAAAGGGGAATTAAAAGATTTGGTGCACGATGGTGCACAATCCTACGACATCCAGAATATAACTTTCAACCTGGTAGAGAAGCTAGGACACTTAGACTTCGTGCAATTCAACAAAAACTTATCTAGTGTATTTCACTCATGTACCTTGTAAATATAAATTTGCTTTGTGAATAGTTGAATAAAATTTGTGAAGTTCTATTCCTTATTTATTTCTTTCTTAAACGATTCCACGCAAAACTAAATGCATTCTCGGTTGCCTTATTTTCTATTCCTGCGACTATAATACGTATAATATGTTTGCTTTGAAAATAGTTGATCAGTTTAATTTATATATAAATCATGTTGAAGCATAAAGTTTTCACAAACCGCAAATCCATTTAAGGTATAATCTCTTTCATATACAACAGTGCAATTCTCGTCAATATATAATATACTTCATGGAGAACAACACAATATATTACTGCTCTTCACTATGTTATAATAGTTAGTATCGACATCGATTGAAATATCTTCGTACAATACCGATCAAATAATCGAAAACTGACTTTGCTGAGGAAAGGTTGCATGCTAATTATTGGGCAAAACTTTTGGGTTTAGTTCCGAAAATAGGAACGTATATTCTTGTTCCTATCTCGCGTTATATTGCAACTTAAAACTTTAGTTCCGAAAATAGGAACGCGTTTTCGTTCCTTTCTCGTGCAACGGAACGAATAGTTCCTAAAGTGTAAAAAGGAATGAGCTGTTCCGCTTTAGTTTGTTCCTTTATAAAAGGAACAGAGTTTTTGTTCCCCCAAACAATGACGGCACTAAACGTTCCGCTTCATATCGTTCCGAAAACCAAAACAAGTCAGATAAACATATACGCCCAGAATTTAGTTTGCCTCGTTTGTTCCGCTAATGACACTAACGTTGCAATTTTCTGTCGCATTACAAAATAGGTAATGATATTCATACTTATCAACGACTATTAGCGTTAAAAGCCTACAACTAAATTGTACTAAAGCAAAAAACATCACTTAAAATTGAACAAAATATATGGAAATGATGATGATGATGATGATGGTGATGGTGATGATGGTGGTGGTGATGATGGTGATGATGATGGTGATTATGGTGATAAAAATGGTGGCGATGGTAAATATGGTAGTGTTATGGTGTTGATGGTGATGGTGAGGATGAGAATTATAGCCGTGATAATGATTATCACACTGATAATAAATTCTTATTAAATTTTTTTCTCCAGACTTTGATGGATACGCGGTTACGAATTTAACACTGGTAGTTCCCGACTTTCCATGGGACTCAGCATACAGTCAAACTACCAGCCCAGCGTATAGAATCTTGAACGAAAATATAACAACTTTAGTAAGTTCAAGTTTCATTTACGCGTGCGTAACAACATCAAAGCGCACCGCTTAAGACGCTTATCTTATGATGGCGTTGTAGTGACAACCATGTACTACTATCCTCAACTAGACTTAGTAAATACTACATTCTCTTGTTATTTCTGGCTTTTCTTTTCATATTAAAAACCTCAATTTAAATATTACGGTTACTTAAAGTATCTCTATTTTCAATCTTAGGGAGCGGTCATTATTTATTGAGGGTACGTTTAAGAGATATGTTTTTCTTGGCAAAAATATTTGCTGATCCAACCATTAAAAAGTCAAAAAACATTTTTTTAGCCAATCTCAAATATCAACTAAATAATAAACACCCACCCCTGGCCAAAAACACGAGTTTGATAACTGCTTGTGCAATTTTCTGCAGTCTAAAGTTTCATGTTGTCTGCACATGTACTTTCTTTGGAGACACCATTTGCCTCCTGACAAATCGGAAAATGATCAAGATAGTGACTCTGATTGATTCACATATTGTATTGACATATGACTGTTGACATTGCTTTTTAGTCTTCAATATTTGAGCGAGTCATGCTTTGGAAATGACAATACAGTGAAGGTTTATTACCCAACCCCTGAGTTGTTTTGTTTTTCATTTTAATAGCTGACATTTTACTCACTTCCAATTTTGTTTATTCAAACTTTTCTCTTCGGTGTCACTCCCCGCCATAGATAATGGCTGCTCCCTTAATCGCAATCCTAACCATATTCTTAAAAGCCGAACAGTAATCGTAAAGCGAACGATTAATCGTAACTCTATAACCCTTAACCCTAATTTTTGTGATATCATGTGAAAAGTCACCCTTTGTATTCCCACTGCGATAAATTTGTGATCTTTTGCTGTAGATAAACGACATATACGACTACGAGAAAGATATTGGCTTTAAATCTGTTGATATGAAGAATCTTCAAGACAAGTTAGTACTTGTAGTATACACGTAAAACGGGCGAACTGTTACAGATCTACAAACAAGTTGCAACAAGGTTGTTGTGAAGCCGATATCAGGATGTGTTCGCACTGCTTGTTCCCAGTTGTTGTGACAAGTCTGGAACACGTTGCTGTTACAAGGTTGATGACGATAACAAACTTGTTACAAGTTGTTCTAACAAGACTAATACAGGCTGTTCGTAACAAGTTGCTACGAGCTTGTTGTCGTCAACTTGTTAACAACTTGTTACGTGCAGACGATATCAGACTTGTTGGAACAACTTGTTGCGAGTCTGTTGGCCTCATCAACTCTGTTACAAGATGATGACAACTTGGTCCAGACTTATCAACAACTGGGAACAAGCAGTGCGAACACAACTTGTTGACAAGTTGTGAGATTTTTTATACGCGTGTACAACTCTCAATTCTATATATTTACCACCAAACAAAAGACTATGCGCGTAAAAATCTCCCATCTTGTAGTAAGTTTGCCAATATAAGCCGTCAACAAGTTGTGTTCGCACTGCTTGTCCCAAGTTGTCAACAACTTTGAAACAAGCTGTTAATCTTGTTGATATTATCAGACTTGTTGCAAGGTTGTTCCAACAAGTCCGATACAGTCATGATATAACAATATTGTTACAACTTTGTGTCGTTAACCTTGTAACATTCTTGTTATATCATGACTGTATCAGACTTGTTAGAACAACCTTGTAACAAATCTGATAATGCCATCAAGCTTGTTACAAGTAGTTAACAGCTTGTTCGAAACTTGTTACAACAACTGGGAACAAGCAGTGCGAACACAACTTGTCGACAACTTGTGAACAGATTTGTAACAACTTGTTTACAGAGTTGCTCCAAGATGTGAGATTTCTGCGCTTGTACTAAATACAACGAGAAGCATTACCATCGTTTTCTCACTCTGATAACTGCAGGTTGACCCACCATCGGCTGCACGATAATGCTTTGTCAAAACCATACACCGTGTCCTCTTATACAACGTTCATACGTAAACTATTTCTTCACTTGCTATGTCTCTGGCGTTTTTGTAGTGGCGGTAACCTGCAACTGACTTTGGTGCTAAATTTTACCGAAGTAGGATGGCAGAATGGCTTTGGGCTATTTAGATCCTTCAATGAGAGCAGATTTTTTAACAGGACACCGGAAGTAAAGGATTGCAAGTTTAAATTTCGTAAGTGATTGACAATATTAAGCATGTATCAGCACGTTAAAAAAAAATAACTTAATACTGGATAGTTCTTCTCTGTTTGTTCTAAACTGTTCTCACTAGAGGTCCAGTAAGGGTCATCTCTTATTGATCCAGTGTTACTACAGGAGGAAACCTAAACTAAACTAAACTAACTTTATTTGTTCTGGATAGCTCTATCAGTTCTGAACTGTTCTTCCTAGAGGTCCAGTAAGGATCATCTCTTATTCATCCAGTGTTACTACAGGAGGAAACCTAAACTAAACTAACTTTATATTTATACTGGATAGCTCTATGAGTTCTAAACTGTTCTTCCTAGAGGTCCAGTAAGGATCATTTCTTATTGATGGGGGAAATCTAAACTAAACTAACTTTATTTATACTGGATAGCTCCATCAGTTCTAAACTGTTCTCCCTAGAGATCCAGTAAGGATCATCTCTTATTGGTCCAGTGTTATTACAGGAGGAAATCTAAACTAAACTAACTTTATTTATACTAGATAGCTTTATCAGTTCTGAACTATTCTCCCTGGAGATCCAGTAAGGATCATCTCCCATTGATCCAGTGTTACTACAGGAGAAAACCTAAACTAAGCTAACTTTATTTATACTGTATAGCTCTATCACTTCTAAACTGTTCTTCTTAGAGGTCCAATAAGAGCCTAAGTGGTGTACAAGGGAAAACTAAATCAACTCGTTTTCATTTCTTACAGAATCCTGTCACGATATAGTTCTTGATGAAGTTTTCCCGTCTGGTGATCCGAATAGAGCCGATGCGTATTTCTACCCTGTAGCGGAAGATATCGAGGACACATACTATGCCGGTTACAATATTATAGCATATTTAATTGGCGGAACCAGGGACGACGTGTGGATTGGTCATGCGAAACCAACCACTGCAGGTCGTGCTCACGGGACAGTACACTGCGGTCCTTATAAACTTGTTGCTATTACCGTGCAACTAAGAACCTTGAAAGGAGCTGGATTTCGTTGCTCAAATTTTGGTTTAGTTCATACCATCGAAGGACGTGAGTCAATGGCAGTTTTATATATAAGAAATGACCCTCACTCAACTTCTACTACACACGTAAAACGCACAAGTTGTTACAAGTCTGCAAACAAGTTGTTACCAATCTGTTCACAAGCTGTCGACAAGTTGTGTTCGCACTGCTTGTTCCCAGTTGTTGTAACAAGTTTGGAATTAACAAGTTTGATGGCATTATCAGACTTATAAAAAGGATGTTACGTGGTGGACGACACAAGGTTGTAACAATACTGTTTTATCATGACTGTATCAGACTTGTTGGAACAACCTTGCAACAAGTCTGATAATAGCAACAAAGTTGTTACAATTATTAACAAGTTGTTCCATACTTGATGACAACTTGGGACAAGCAGTGCGAACACAACTTGTTGACGGCTGGTTGGCAGACTTGCGACAACATGTGAGATTTTTTCCCTGTAGTAGGGAGAACAGTTTAGAACTGATAGAGCTATCCAGTATAAATAAAGTTAGTTTAGTTTAGGTTTCCTCCTGTAGTAACACTGGATCAATAAGGGATGATCCTTACTGGACCTTTATAGGAAGAACAGTTTAGAACTGTTAGAGTTATCCAGTATAAATAAAGTTAGTTTAGTTTAGGTTTCCTCCTGTAGTAACACTGGATCAATAAGGGATGATCCTTACTGGACCTTTATAGGAAGAACAGTTTAGAACTGTTAGAGCTATCCAGTATAAATAAAGTTAGTTTAGTTTAGGTTTCCTTCTGTAGTAACACTGGATCAGTAAGGGATGATCCTTACTGGACCTTTATAGGAAGAACAGTTTAGAACTGTTAGAGCTCTGTTCTTCCTAGAGGTCCAGTAAGAGATGACTCTTACAATTGTGAAGGCTATACAACTACCTGATAAATATAAGCAGAACTTGATTGTTTTGAGCGAAGGTTTTTCGTTGGGAAGGTGGCACCTTCCAGTATAAATGAATAAGTGTACACGAATTCTGCTGGTGTATATTACTGTGATATTTTTTTGTGTGTTTTCAGCTCCCTCGGAAGGGCCGAAAAATTTAAGAGTTGTATCACTAAGCGCGTTTAACGTGTCGGTTGTTTGGGGAAATATTACCGAAGAAAAAAGGAATGGCATTATTCAAAAGTATAACATACATATCCATGACAGTAACGGCTTCCTTAGCTCTAGGTGCTGTGTGTTGGTGAATGAAACTCGAATAGCTACATTCCCCATTCTACGGCCCGCCAAAAAATATACCGTGTATGTTTGTGGATATACATCACATCATAAATGTGGATCTTGGGCTTCCGTTAAGTTTCATTCAACTGCATTGTGTAAGTATATTTATTATATAGACATAGTAGAGAGTGAGATACTGAAAAATACACAGTGAGATATTTTCCATATCTTCACTATAGTGAAGATATCGATCACGTGACTTTCAGTATTTACACAATTTTTTGCTTAGGATTATATAATAAACAGAACATTGCACGGTGCCTTGAAGATATGACTTTTATCTTCTCGTGTTAAAAACAATATTTTACTGACTCGCTGCGCTCGTTCGTAAAATATTGTTTTCACCACTCGAAGATAAAAGTTATATCTTCGCGCCGCCGTGTAATATTCTCTATATCTTTCTCTCTATATATATATATATATATATTGAAAATTTTCTCGAGTGCATGAGTATTTTATAATTTCCAGACCGCGCGCAAGCAGAAAGATATTAGAGAGGTTAAGATAACTGTGTTAGAGAGATTTCTGTGTTAGAGAGATGTCTGTGTTAGAGAGATGTCTGTGTTAGAGAGATGTCTGTGTTAGAGAGATGTCTGTGTTAGAGAGATGTCTGTGTTAGAGAGATGTCTGTGTTAGAGAGATGTTTGTGTTAGAGAGATTTCTGTGTTAGAGAGATGTCTGTGTTAGAGAGATGTCTGTGTTAGAGAGATGCTGTGCTGAGTGGTTATATTACTACCTTAAAAAATAAGCAGAAACTCGACGTTTCGAGCGAAGATCCTTCATCAAGACTAACTCTTGACGAAGGGCCTTCGTCCATTAACTCTTGACGAGGGGCGTTCGTTCGAAACGTCGAGTTTCTGCTTATTTTTTAGAGAGATGTCTGTCTTAGAGAGGTCTCTATCTTAGAGAGATGTTTGTGTTAGAGAGATGTGTGTCTCAGAAAGATATTTCTTAATATAGTTCATATCTATTTTTTCTATTTTCTGTTTCAGTGCCTGGAAAAGCACCAAGAAATCTTGAGGTTTATCCCAGCCCTAGGACAGCTTGGTTAGATTGGAAAGTCGTACATCCATATTATCAATATGGCAAACAAATAAGTTACCGGATCATAGTGAAAAATTTGAGAACTGAAGAACTAGATTTTGGCCATCACGTTGCCGTACAAGATCAATCGAAAATTGATTATGGTAGATTGCTTGATGGTTTGAAAGGACTCACAAATTATCAATTGAACGTGTCTTTGATAAATGAGGTTGGAGAAGGGCCTATAACCAGTTTTTTGTTTGCAACTCCCGAAGGAGGTGAGGGTCGAGATCTTCATTCATGGTATTGTTGAGATATGTTGGGGACATGGTGAACAGATTTGAACTTGCTCTTAATTTTGCAAAACAGCTATTAGTATCCTGTTTTTTTTATATATATAGCTTCTTTGGGTACTTATGATGTTGAATAATGAAAACAATTTCTCGAACACAAATTTTGTAAACCAGGTGGTGTGTCTTTTCCGACAAACTAAAAATGGCTTGCGCACGAGATTTAAACGCTATAATCGTATTTTGAGTTAATGGGTGAAAACTGTGTTGGGTGTGTAATTGCTGCACGAAATTTCAGACAATTTGCTTCAGTTTAAGCCCTTCAACTATTCACGCAAACTTACATTTTTTCCTAGAAATTCATCATTTGCATGCTTAATTAATGCATTTGCCTAATTGCATATGTCAGCAATATCCAAATTAGGTAAACGCATTAATTAAGCATGCGAAAGGCTGATTTTTTAGGAAAAAATGGATAGTTAAAGGGCTTAAACTAAAGCAAATTGTCTGAAATTTTGTACAGTAATTAAAAACCCAACAAATTTGCCATCCATTAACTCAAAATACGATTAAAGCTTTCAAATTCCGTGCGCAAGCCATTTTTAGTTTGTT